CTCATTAAATGCTCACTCATTAACTGCTCACTCATAAACTGCTCACTCATTAACTGCTCACTCATTAACTGCTCACTCATTAACTGCTCACTCATTAACTGCTCAATCATTAACTGCTCACTCATTAACTGCTCACTCATTAACTGCTCACTCATTAACTGCTCATTCATTAACTGCTTACTCATTAACTGCTCACTCATTAACTGTTCACTCATTAACTGCTCACTCATTAACTGCTCACTCATTAACTGCTCACTCATTAACTGCTCACTCATTAACTTCTCACTCATTTACTGCTCACTCATTAACTTCTCACTCATTAACTGCTCATTCATTAACTGCTCACAGCTCACTCTTTAACTGCTCACTCATTAACTGCTCACTCATTAACTGCTCACTCATTAACTGCTCACTCATTAACTGCTCACTCATTAACTGCTCACTCATTAACTGCTCATTCATTAACTGCTCACAGCTCACTCTTTAACTGCTCACTCATTAACTGCTCACTCATTAACATCTCACTCATTAACTGCTCACTCATTAACTGCTCACTCATTAACTGCTCACTCATTAACTGCTCACTCATTAACTGCTCACTCATTAACTGCTCACTCATTAACTGCTCACTCATTAACTGCTCACTCATTAACTGCTCACTCATTTACTGCTCACTCATTAACTGCTCACTCATTTACTGCTCACTCTTTAACTGCTCACTCATTAACTGCTCACTCATTAACTGCTCACTCATTAACTGCTGACTCATAAACTGCTCACTCATTAACTGCTGACTCATTAACTGCTCACTCATTAACTGCTCAATCATTAACTGCTCACTCAGTAACTGCTCACTCATTAACTGCTCACTCATTTACTGCTCACTCATTAACTGCTCACTCATGAACTGCTCACTCATAAACTGCTCACGCAGTAACTGCTCACTCATTAACTGCTCACTCATTAACTGCTCACTCATTAACTGCTCACTCATAAACTGCTCACTCATTAACTGCTCACTCATTAACTGCTCACTCATTAACTGCTCACTCATTAACTGCTCACTCATTAACTGCTCACTCATTAACTGCTCACTCATTAACTGCTCACTCATTAACTGCTCACTCATTAACTGCTCACTCATTTACTGCTCACTCATTAACTGCTCACTCATTTACTGCTCACTCTTTAACTGCTCACTCATTAACTGCTCACTCATTAACTGCTCACTCATTAACTGCTCACTCATAAACTGCTCACTCATTAACTGCTCACTCATTAACTTCTCACTCATTTACTGCTCACTCATTAACTTCTCACTCATTAACTGCTCATTCATTAACTGCTCACAGCTCACTCTTTAACTGCTCACTCATTAACTGCTCACTCATTAACTGCTCACTCATTAACTGCTCACTCATTAACTGCTCATTCATTAACTGCTCACAGCTCACTCTTTAACTGCTCACTCATTAACTGCTCACTCATTAACATCTCACTCATTAACTGCTCACTCATTAACTGCTCACTCATTAACTGCTCACTCATTAACTGCTCACTCATTAACTGCTCACTCATTAACTGCTCACTCATTAACTGCTCACTCATTAACTGCTCACTCATTTACTGCTCACTCATTAACTGCTCACTCATTTACTGCTCACTCTTTAACTGCTCACTCATTAACTGCTCACTCATTAACTGCTCACTCATTAACTGCTCACTCATAAACTGCTCACTCATTAACTGCTGACTCATTAACTGCTCACTCATTAACTGCTCAATCATTAACTGCTCACTCAGTAACTGCTCACTCATTAACTGCTCACTCATTTACTGCTCACTCATTAACTGCTCACTCATGAACTGCTCACTCATAAACTGCTCACGCAGTAACTGCTCACTCATTAACTGCTCACTCATTAACTGCTCACTCATTAACTGCTCACTCATAAACTGCTCACTCATTAACTGCTCACTCATTAACTGCTCACTCATTAACTGCTCACTCATTAACTGCTCACTCATTAACTGCTCACTCATTAACTGCTCACTCATTAACTGCTCACTCATTAACTGCTCACTCATTAACTGCTCACTCATTTACTGCTCACTCATTAACTGCTCACTCATTTACTGCTCACTCTTTAACTGCTCACTCATTAACTGCTCACTCATTAACTGCTCACTCATTAACTGCTCACTCATAAACTGCTCACTCATTAACTGCTGACTCATTAACTGCTCACTCATTAACTGCTCAATCATTAACTGCTCACTCAGTAACTGCTCACTCATTAACTGCTCACTCATTTACTGCTCACTCATTAACTGCTCACTCATTAACTGCTCACTCATTAACTGCTCACTCATTAACTGCTCATTCATTAACTGCTCACAGCTCACTCTTTAACTGCTCACTCATTAACTGCTCACTCATTAACATCTCACTCATTAACTGCTCACTCATTAACTGCTCACTCATTAACTGCTCACTCATTAACTGCTCACTCATTAACTGCTCACTCATTAACTGCTCACTCATTAACTGCTCACTCATTAACTGCTCACTCATTAACTGCTCACTCATTAACTGCTCACTCATTTACTGCTCACTCATTAACTGCTCACTCATTTACTGCTCACTCTTTAACTGCTCACTCATTAACTGCTCACTCATTAACTGCCCACTCATTAACTGCTCACTCATAAACTGCTCACTCATTAACTGCTGACTCATTAACTGCTCACTCATTAACTGCTCAATCATTAACTGCTCACTCAGTAACTGCTCACTCATTAACTGCTCACTCATTTACTGCTCACTCATTAACTGCTCACTCATGAACTGCTCACTCATAAACTGCTCACGCAGTAACTGCTCACTCATTAACTGCTCACTCATTAACTGCTCACTCATTAACTGCTCACTCATTAACTGCTCACTCATAAACTGCTCACTCATTAACTGCTCACTCATTAACTGCTCACTCATTAACTGCTCACTCATTAACTGCTCACTCATTAACTGCTCACTCATTAACTGCTCACTCATTAACTGCTCACTCATTAACTGCTCACTCATTAACTGCTCACTTATTAACTGCTCACTCATTAACTGCTCACTCATTAACTGCTCACTCATTAACTGCTCATTCATTAACTGCTCACTCATTTACTGCTCACTCATTAACTGCTCACTCATTAATTGCTCACTCATTAACTGCTCACTCATGAGCTGCTCACTCATTAACTGCTCACTTATGAACTGCTCACTCATAAACAACCCACTCATTTTTTCCGAACCATAGCCGAACCATAGTAACAAAAATTCAGGGAGGAATTTGACTCCAAAATATACGGTTTTTGAGGGAAGACAGCGCAGAAAATGCCGGGAGAAAATCTTCAATACGTAGCGTCCTGACACAATTCTTAAAAATTTTCAAAATATTTTGCTGAAGCAAGTTCCTTTGTCGATTTCCTGGAGGTAACTTTCTCATCTAAGAACAGGCTCACTAAGGCTCTTTTTCCTGCCCTATCCTGCATAATTTTATTATTGAGATCAATTGAGCAATCTCCCCCCCCCCCCCCCCGAATGACCAATTAGGCTATATCTCTTATGCAAAAACGGTAGAACGCACGCTACAGAAAACGTAACCAAACGTAAGCAGATTATTAATTAGTTCAAAAAACGCAATCAATTGACCGATTGAACTTTCTGTGTGTCGAGAAAAAGTTTTGAAAAAAAAATCGATTTAAAAATTTTTTTTTGTAAACTTTGGTTTGGGCGGCCATTGCGTTGAGGAAAGCAAGTTACTATTGTTGATGCTCTTCCTTTGTATCCGCATAACGTGTGCAGCCCATCTCGACATTAATTCCTACTAGAAATGTTACGACTGCTCTAAAATAATTCAACTGTTGTGCAGGCGTACTTGATACCCTAGTAGCCTCCTATGTTATCAAACTACGAGCCCATTATTCCTAAATGTTTTTGTACAGCTTTTTTGAGTATCAAGCAGTAAATTGAGTAATAAAACTCGACTGGATATCAATCTTTTTTCATTTTTTAAGAGTTAACCGAACGGGTTTCCTCTATACGTTTGAACAGACTTTCTATTTATTTAATCAAGAGTAAAAAGGTAAAAGTCGAGCATTTGCATGTCACTGAAATAAAGAATCAATAGTAACTTGATTTTCCGCAGTTTTTGACTTTGCGTTTATCGCCTCAATGAATTATGAGCACCCTCTGCCTTCTCATCTGCAGATACATAGAATTGTTGTCCGCAGCACCTTAATTTTGTGCTCAATAGCGTTTTTTCATTGGAGAACGGAAAAAGTCTGCTTTGTATGTATCAGTTTGTGGTATTTTTTTCGGTAAATATTTTTGTTATTTTATATAGTGATGTTTGGTGTTCCACATTCATTGGAGACTAGGTTTATGGTTTCTTATCACTTAAACTTTTTTCAAGTGTTTATAAAAATATCTCAAGTATGGAATCTGTTACGTTATCTCCCTCCAAGCGTGAATGGCGGATTGCTTACTTGATCCGTTCATTGTTTGTATGGATCTACTTAACAATCTCCGCCCCTTTCAAGAAAGGGGGGGGGGAGATTGTTAAGTAGATCAAAACGGTCGATTTTTCGACCAATCAGGATCCAGCAAAATTGAAATTCTTATTAGAAAGCTCAGTTCTATTTTACTGTAATTATTAATAGAGGTGGAGATTCTTAAGTAGCTACCGTAGGGGGGGGGGGGGCATTGTTAAGTAGGTCCGTTTGTATTATTCGATACTATCAAAACTGACATTCGGACATTTTAAGATATGACAATTATAACTGGTTTTCGTATATAACCTTGTAAAACCAACCACTCTGTACCCCATAACTATAAAATCGAAGCTCATGCAAGGTGTGTGTGTGTGTGTGTGTGTGTGTGAGGGAGGGGGGGGGGGGGTGGAGGAGGAGCCTTCATCAACTATATCATCAAGCTCAGAAAACAATTAAAAATTTCGAAGTTGAATTAAAGATGAAGTGTTGCAGCAAAATAGAATTTCAGACATGTCAAAATGATGCAGCTTCGATGTCTTTTCTCAACTCGAATGTCCGAACATGCTTCTTGGTTTAGTTACTAGAATCACGTGACACCCACTTGATATCTGCTCATACGATGGAGCAGCAAGAGGGGTCGACGGTGCCCGCGTCCCCTCCCCCAGTTTTGTGTTTCTTGTTCGCATGCCACCATCTGCGCTGATTTCTGGCTTCGTTTCTCATGCTCTCTTGGAACTTGTCCGATGCCGGGTTGTTGTAGGGGTCTTGGTCCTTATGCTCCGGAGATCGGCCTGAAAACAAAAAAAAACCATTAGCAAAATAAAAAGCGCATTGTTAAGTTTAGCATAAATCTTTCGCCTCTTTCTCATTTGGGTCAGGCAGGTATGATTAAAAAAGGGATGTCGTGTGACTCAACAGTACCAGGGTAGCCCGTGATATTGATATTCGTTGCAAGTAATGCAATCCGTTAACCTGGATTGACAATTCGGCAGTTACATAGCTTCATAATTGAGAGACAATCAAGATCGTTATTAATATCGAGTGCAAGTTTACTGCAACTTGCTAATAGTACATCAAACTGGTTGGGCTTCTGGTTGTATAGATTGTTTTTTTTTCAGTAATACCCGTATACTTTTAAGGGTTTCTCATTCCCCCTGGTTAAAATTAAGATTTTCAAATGAGTTTTATCTCCAAAAATGAGTTTTTATTTCAGTTTTGAATTCTGTTCTCTCGCTTTTCTCTTTTTCATTTTTTCCGTCTTGACCACCTGCAGTGCCCTCTTCGTCTTCTTAAGACCATTGATCCACGAAGGAAAGGACCTGTTATCCATACGGATATTGTAGTAAAACATCCCTTTATAAACAATGTACAATTAGGTGCTAAAACTACCAGTTGGTAATGTTTACATATTATAAACCTAACTGATTACATAATACATATAGAAGTCTGCGTATTAAATAAGTATCTATCTATACCTAACAACATATGTATTAGTTATTATGAAACGCTGTATCTCAAATGCTTCGAGGTCAGCGTCGACCAGACTTAACTTTCCAAACTGAATTTAAGTTGCTCTCTATCTCTTCATATTCCAATTCTTAGTTAGCGAATAAGCATAGACTTTGAACATCGAGATTATACCGTTTATACCTCACCTAACGGCTGAGGGTATAACAGGACCAACACACGAGCTGTACTGCTCATCACGGCAAACCGCTGTTGTGCCCCTGTTTAAGAACTATATGCAATTTTTTTTGGTAATTTTCTGGGCTGGGTAATGTTGCTTCACCCTCAAGCAACGAGCACGGATCATGGTGGGCCTCGAACATCCGACCTTTCGATTGAGAGGCGGAGACGTAACCACTTCACCACCGCTCCCCAAAGAGGAAGATGGACTCCGCCATGCTTGCGGCCGGTGATCAGTCGGGCGTAACTAGACCGACCGTCTCTTCTGCCTCGCCTTCTTGTTTTCCTCTTGTCTTCTTCGAGCGTCTTTCGGACGGAATTCTATCCACGCGGAACATTCTTTACTCTTTGAATACTGTGGGGTACTCAATAATTTTCTTCGCGTACTTATCAACTGACCTTACTATGTCCACTATGGGATTTAGGAACTTAGACGACGGGAAATTAGGCGATCCGAAAATAACTAAATTTCGTCAATAACTTGCGTGCAAATTGCGTGAATTTTGTTTACAGACTTAAATTAAAATTTGGATGAGTAAATACTGGTTGTCCGTAAATTCCGTTTCTTTGCTGTCGTCTAATTTGCTTGTCGTCTAATTTCCTAGTTCACTATTGATGGTGGCAATGTATTTGTTGATGTTATTGAAATAATTTTTTTTCACATACGTTGATGCGAGTGGTGACAATCACTGCTTCTAGGTGACAGCCTGGCCGTACTTTGTGCTTTGGTCTATTGCCATTTTTTCTGAGGGCTGTGATTCTCTTGGCTTAGTAGAAGCTCTGCATTCTGAGCTTTTGGAATCTTTAATCCTCTTTTTTGATGCTAGCTGTTATTGCCACCACTTGCAAGCTGTTATAGTCACAACTTGTTTGTGTGCCCGTTGTTTTGCTCCGTGTTTCTTATAAAGCCCTCTTACCCGGTGTCTGGTTTTTGCTGTTGTCCCAGAAGCCTCAAGGATAGTTTTCACTAGTTGAGTTTGTTCGCTCTGCCGCTTATTCTTTCTCGTTTGTGTCTTGCTGCTTCTTTAGCTTCTGTCGTCTCTGTCACCAGTGCCAAGTTTTCCGGAGTTTTCTCTTTGAACCGTGGTTGCCTCGGATGCTCCGGTTGCACTACATTAGAAGTGCGTTGACCAAACATTTATGTACATTGTCTTTTGTGCGCAATGCCTTGTTCTGAGTTGTCCTTGTTCGTTCCATCAAAAGTTTAAAGAAATATTATAAGTTTCCTCTGATGGCTCCCCGGGTTGACCAAAAATGATAATCGTTTTTTAAACAATTTTCATATATGGAAAAATGCTAATCATATACTTTTCATGCAAATCCATAAGTACAGAAAACTGCATGAAAGGTCTATGATTAGTGGTTTTCATATATGGAAATTGTATGACTAGCATTTTTCCATAAATCAAAAATTTTGATTTTTTTTTACAATTTAATTTCTCAAAACTTCTCGGTTGTGTTTGTAACCGAACACAGTGACTAAAATCTTGGCTACTCAAACGTACAGTAACAAACGGTTTGACGGTTTTGCATTAAAAATGCATTGGAAGCGGCCTGAAATGTCTTAACTGTCTTACAAAAATAATATAGCGAAAGTATCAAGCTTTTAAAATTTGGCATACATTTTCAACGATAATTATTTTTAAAATTTAAATTTTTAAATTATCAGACATTGATCAAGGCATACATAAACTTGTCATAAAAAAAAGAGTTTTTAGCTTTTTTGAAAAAGTTATTTAGCGAAGAGAAAAAAAATCCAATATAATTGTATCCAGGACTACGTTATACACACACAAAAAAATTTTACATGTACAAAATTTTTTTGAAAAATATTTGTTAGAGTACAAAATTCGATTTGCAGTTGAAAAAAAAACATTAAAAAAGTTTTTGAAGCCAATTTCAAATTTAATTTGTTGTCATAAAAAAATGCTAGTCATACAATTTCCATATATGGAAACTGTATGATTAGTATTTGCTAGAAAAAAAGTGCTTCTTTTTTATTTAGTATGATACACAGATTTTATGCCAAAACTAAAAAAAATCTTTGAAAAAAGATGACACCATTTTTGCAAAAGGTATGCAATTTGTATGATTATGATTTTTTCGTAGAAGTAAAATTATGGAAGTGTACGATTAGCATTTTTGGTTTAATCAGGTCAACCCGGGTGGTAAGGACTGTAACAAGGGTCAATCTTCATTACTGCACGTCTGTTTCTAAGGATTTGGATCATGCAGTCTACGAACAGTCCTATTTCCCTGTGGTCGTCGATGATATAATGCTGTCTTCAACATATCTGTGGTTGCTGTTTTTGCTTTGTCTGAAAAGCACTTCTCTTATTCTAGATGTTTCTTTGATTTCAGCAGAGCGATATGAATACTAATATCGAGTGTCTCGATTTATGAAAATTTTTCAATTTATCTGTAGTTGATGATTTTGGTTGATCTGAAAAGCATTTTTCTGATTCTGCCTGCTTCTTTGATTTCAGCAAATCAGAATGACTATTATTAAAGGGTGTCTCAATTTTTGAGTCTTTCTCAAATTAACTTTAGTTGCTGCTTTTGGTTAGTCTGAGAAGCACCTTTCTGATTCTATCTGCTTCATTGCTGTCAGCAAAGCAGTATGACTATATTAAGAGTTGTCTCGATTTTTGAGTATTTCTCAGTTGATCTGTGGTTGCTGCTCTTAACTGATTTTTGAGTCTTACTTAAACTATCTGTAGTTGCTGTTTTTAGTTTGACCGAAAAGAACCTTTCTGATTCTAGATGCTTCATCAATTTCAGCAAAGCAGTATGAATATTATTAGGGGATGTCTCGATTTTTGAGTCTTTCTCAATTTATCTGTAGTTTATGAATCTGGTTGATCTGAAAAGCACTTTTTTGAGTCTATCTGCTTGTTTGATTTTAGCAAAGCAGTATGAATATTTTAAGGGTGTCTGGTTTTTTGAGTCCTTGTCAATTGATCTGCAGTTACTGCTTTTGGTTAGTCTGAAAGCACCTTTCTGTAGTTCTAGATGCTTCGTTGATTTCAGCGCAGTGGTATGACTATTATTACGGGGTGCCTCGATCTTTGATTCTTTTTCAACTTCAGGAAAAACGTGTTTGGCATTTTTTTCAATCTGGAAAAGACGTTTTTTTAATTTGTTCACAAGTTGCACATATTGTTCCGACCACATCATTCCAAAAAAAATCTGTTATTGTTTTTCTGAGGTACATGAGTTAGACAATAGAGAGAGAAAGTCAGATTCATTGAAGTTCGGTCTTCCAAAGTTCAGTGAAATTCGAAAAAGATCAGCTCATCTTGAAAGATATACAGAGCAAAGAGACAGCACGGATATTTTTGGGATACATGTTTACTCGGTTGGTCACGTGAGAAAATTAGTTGAGATGACTGGTCCCGCCTATTTCCTAAAAACAAAAGCCAGCACGGATTTGAACCTACGCCTAGGGTTTGGTATCCTGATTCGAACCCGCTAGAAAAACTGGACCCGTTGTAGCACCAACCAACATAGAGAAATTAAGATATTTACCTTGAAAATTAACTCAAAGTGTGCCTCTGTTTTTATTAGGGACCACAGCATTTTTAGGAGCCAAAAATGTAAACTAGTACCACTTTTGGTTTTTAAAATTGCTATTTGGAATAAATAGGGATGTTTTCCAATTCTTTCTCAATTTTTTCCATGAAAATCTTGGCGAACAAGGCAGTTTTGCTAAGAGTGTAAGTATTCGAAAATCTATGTTTTGCCGGCAGCAATTTTATTCCTAAACTTGGAAATTTGTTTCATATTTCCACCGCATGCTGGCAAACTGCTTGAACTCAACTGACTTTTGTGATTGGCATTTTCTGACAGGTTTGACAGCTGGCCGGCTTAGTTTTTTTGAATTTTTCCCGGCTTTATTTGAATTTTTTGCGGACCATCAGTCGTTTGCTTGCCCGCTTTGTTGATTATTTTATCGTGCGTCATTTCCCAGAAGCCATCCATATTTGTTCGGGACGGTCGAAAGATAAGCCGAGTACCTCAATCCCAGAAGTTGTTATGAAACAGAAGATGGTCTGGTCTGATAGATACTGATACAACTTTACTACTGACTCCTTTTAAACGCTCAATGCCTTTTATTCAACTATCGCTGTTCAGCAATATCATTCAGCTGCCAACCAAGACCATGGTTGGCTTCGAAGCACCAACCTCTGGATTGAGAACCAATTGCGCTAGCCAACGCAACCCATCTCTGCTCTTTAATGGGATCTTATTAACTTCCGCCAATGCAAGCAATAATGTTTTCCAAAGGTTAAATTTGGCGTCAATATTCGATCATCAATCATGATGGACTGACGCACTGAAAAACGGAGCCGCTAGCCTTTTTCTACTTGTTTGTACTTTCATAAATTTGTCAACAAGTTCTTACCTTGAGACGTGTTTCTTTCGTCGTTTCCAGGATCCTCTTGGTCGACAGTTAACGTCACCACTTGTTCCGAACGCTTCACTTCAGAAGATGGCAATGCTGCGTCGTCGGGAACCGCCAAATTCTCCACGCCTGCGATGAAAAAGCAAAAAAAAATTATGAGTTTTAGTCGCGTTTAGCTTTAAGTAGCTTGTTGCGACCCGGGTCGAGTCCCATACTCATGTCCAGACTTTGAAATAGAATTTTCCCTAAATGAGCGTCCTTATAAGTTATTCCGTTAATTAACAAGTTCGACTATTCCTTGTTACATTTGATTAAACGCGAGACAAGTGACATAAAACAACAAGTATAGCCGGTTACTGTGCAAGTAGCACAGAATGTTCCGACCATAGTCTTAAAAATACAAATTAAAAGTTTTTCAAATTACTGTCGTTTTTCTGTATGATGTGGTAAAAGGATCTGAACGAAAAACTAGAACTTAGGCAAATTCCACAGTCATAGTAAAACAGTCAAATTTAAAAAACAGTTTTGGAAGAAAAATTACTGAAAAAACGAAAAAAAATTGCTTAAAAGTTTTTTTTTCAAATTTTGTTTCTGAAGTTTTTGGTATTCATGATACCTAATAGGGCGCTAAAAACTCCAAAAACTAACTTTATTTGAACAAATTTAAATTTTCAACGCTTAAATTAAGCATAAATAAGCTAATAATAATGCAAGCCTGCTCACTGGCTCGAAATTAAACGAAAAATCAAAAATCACGACTGAAAGGTTCAAATCACGACTGAAAGGGCTTTAGTATGATTTCGCATTCTACCCCGTCCGATGATTATTTGTGGTTCCTGATTTTGGGTGCATTTGTTATAAACAAAATATTTGTAATATCTTTCTAATTAATACTAGTAGGGAGAACTCTCTCCGCTTATGCCGAAATCAAATTCAACTTTCAAATTGCTAGTATCCTTGAATAATTTGACTGGAGAGAACGGATTCGAGTGGATTCATTCAACAATTCCCGGGCTGAGGTGTTCGACTCATGATTCGACCAAAACGGTCGAACAATGTCAAAATTTGCTGCAAAGTAAGACGGTCGAACGAAGTCTATAGCCGGTTTACGTCGAATCGTTGGTCGAACAGGGTCGAATCAAGGGTCAAACAGGGCCAAATAATGAATTGAAGAGGGTCGATACGGTCAAATCATAAGTCCAAAAGGGTCAAATATGTTCGATAGGGTCGACCCATAGGTCAGTAAGAGTCCAATCATGAGTCGATAGGGCGAATCATAGGTCAAACAGGGTCAATTCAAGGGTCCAACGGGATTGAATCAAGGATCGAAATTACGAGCAACGCAAACAATGTCCGGTAAAGTCAAGCACAGTCGAGAAAAATTGAACCAAGTTGAACAAGGTCCGGTAACGTCGAATTAATTCGAAAAAGGACAAAGTCTGATTCAGAAAATCTCAAACGGACACCGTTTGACTCAAAGAGTTGAAAACGGACATTGTTCGATCGTTCCGGTTGAACCATGAGTCGAATAAAGGGAGTTTACATTTAATGAATTGCCCAGGAAAAACCTAGAAAATAGTTGTGCTTGTCAAATTGTTTGGCTAAAACAAGGAACTCAAAAATTAAAACTAATTTGTCCATTACTATGTATAACCAAGAGATATAGCTAAGCATTTTATCCCTGTTGTTTCAAAATAAAAAAAAAACACCATCCTGACAAAGAAGCAGACAAATCACTTCCAACTAATTGAAAGCCAAAAATTCAACTGAAACAATAATCAGTTTTTTGAATAAATAGAACATTTTAAGCAACAATTAAATTAGATTTTGCATAAACGGTCTACAGTTGATGTCACAAAACAAACTTTGAAAGTTCTTCTCGAAATCAAAAATACAGATAAAGTTGGCACATTGCATGCCTTCAAATTTATCGAATAATTGAAATACAATTGATTGTGACACCCAATAATAAATGTACGACTAAGGGTAACCAGTTTGTTATTCATTCAACAACGTGTACAAAATTGAATGTTCTCATAGAAATGTACCCCCAGAAATCTGTTTTGGAATTCTCGCCTTTTCTTATTTATAGTAACGATTTTCCCAACATAACAGATCAGAGTAAAAAGGGCAGACAAATTTTTCGAGAATTAATGGAAACTGTGTTGAATGAGCCAAAAGTTTATTATAATGGACTATATTTGAATTTTTGAAGGAGTTAATCATCATCCGAAATCTTCTCGGAACAATCAGGGCTTCATAAAAAAATGCAAAATAAATCCGAAAAATTTGGAAAAGTTCGAAATGTCTTTTGATTTTTTCTAAGGTTTCTTTGTTTTTATTCATCTTTGAAGACAAATTTAGTGTTACATTGAAAGTTTTCGTCTAGTATCTTTTATCCAACCAGGCTCAAAAAGCTACACAAAGTGGGTTTTTTTAAAAGTTTTTCTAAGGAAAACTGTCGGAACTTTCTGAACAACTTGCACATTATTCTGCTACTCCTGACAGTATATATATGGAAGTAAAATGCGCAAAACACTTTCGTCAGATTGAAACAAAAAACAGGATATAGCAAAAAAATCACTCAAAAGGTCTTCTCATAAAACCTCTAACGATTAAAAACATGCGCTGCGATTATGTGTTGAAAAGGTTCAAACTTTCATTCGACAAATGAGTTCATCGCAGACTTCCGACTACAATGTCCTTAAACTCTTCAAGTACTGTTTCTACTCCCAAAGGTTTCAAAGTTCAAAATCATCATCAACACGATTATTTAGTTCAAACAACAATGACAAACATCTTATTGTGTCTTTTGCAAAATTATGTAACACTGTTAGCTGCAAAATCCTCGGAAAATTTATGACTTTTAAAAATATGTGATCAAATTAAGGTCTACTATAGCTTTTGGTACTCTTTGTACTTAATCGGTGTTAGTTTCTGATAAGCGGCAAAAAAATTGGTTCTACTGAACAATGCCCCTTTCAAGAAAGGGGGGGGGGGGGTTTGCTAAGTTGATTAAAGTAATCAAATTTTCGACCAATTACAATGCAGCAAAATTAGAATTATCAATGCAGAGCTCTAGCGCTAACTTACTGTATTTATTTATTGGGGGTGAAGATTCGTTAGTAGATACCATAGGAGGGGGGGGGGGGGGGTTGTTCAGTAAATCCAAAAATTTTTACGCCAAAGATTTGGCCACAACCGCCGTAGCGATATCGACTATATTGTATAAAACTTATTTAAAATTGAATACTGGGGTTTATTTAGATTTAGAAAATAACAAAAATGGTAAAAACTCACCTTTTTCATTAATATTCGTTGGTACAGTTTCTTTGTCGCACTTTTCGTAACTGTGGCTAGTTTTTTCATCTGTCTCGCTGATAACCGACAAGTCGGGTGCCAGTGCCGACGATGGCCGATTCACTACCTCTTCGTTCGGATCTGCAACCCCGTTCGGCTCCGAAGAGTCGGCTTTGTCCGCACTTTTTGACGACTCACCTCTGTTTTCTCGGATATCAATTTGCCCGCTCGTTGATGATTCGGCGGTGTCTGTTTCGTCGGTGTTATCCGCGACTCCGTTCGTTTGAGGTACCTCCTTCCCGGTTTCTGGTTTCGGTTCGTTATTTGCACTGCTAGATCTCGAAGGAGTCTTTTCGTTGGTCACGTGATCCGCTTGGGATATCGGCTCGCCCTCGTCGCTTCCGAATGTCTCTCGCTTCTCTTCAGTTGAACTCGGCTCTTCGGGTTTTTGGCTCACATCTTCGTTTGGCGTAATATGATTTTCTTCCACTTGAGTAACAGACGCTCGGTTCGACGAAGTACTGGTTACGGAACCTCTTTTGGAAGACGGTGTCGCTGGTCGGTTCGGTTCGCTTGGTGCAACGTGATTTTCTTCCACCTGGACCGACACTCGGTTCGACGAAGTGCTGGTTACGGAACCTCTTTTGGAAGACGGTGTCGCTGGTCGGTTCGGTTCGCTGGGTACAGCGTGATTTTCTTCAACCTGGACCGACACTCGGTTCGACGAAGTGCTGGTTACGGAACCTCTTTTGGAAGACGGTGTCGCTGGTCGGTTCGATTCACTAGGTGCAACGTGATTTTCTTCCACTTGGGTAATAGACGCTCGGTTCGACGAAGTACTGCTTACAGAACCTCTTTTAGATGATGGCGTCGCTGGTCGGTTTGCTTCGGATTCATTCTTATCGGCAACTGTTTCGTTTTTTGGACTACCGACGTTGTCACCCGATATCGGTTTCTCTTCGGGTTTGACTTCGCCAGTTGCACTCATTGTAGCTTTTGTTACTTCAACGGGTGTGTCGACTAAAGTTGTCAACAAAAATATCAAGTAGTGCACCAAATTTAAGAATTTATTTGTTTAATCAAAACCACCTTTAAATCTACACGAGATCCAACCTTGAGAAATATGTTCATTGGCAAGATGATCCTCGTTGACTCCGTTTGTTTCTCCGTTTGGAATCCCGTTCTCCACATGTCCATTCTGCAAATTTTCAGTGACCTAAACCCCATATCCCGTGACTACCCCAAAACTACTGGACTCACAAGTTAAAATTTGGACAAATTTTGCAACTAACCGACATGTTTTGAGCTACCTCGTTGGTTTCTTGGCAATGATTCTGCTGAAATTCAGATTCTAAATTTTGATCATCTAAATGTTTCTCGTTTTCTTGGTTCTGATTATAATCTAGTTGGAGCTGATTTTCACTGCCTTCGCATATTATGTTCTCGCAAACAGCACCACTGCCAATTGATTCACTTTGATCCGAATTGTTTATTTCGGTTTGGCCAGTAAACAAGTAATTCGGACCTTTTTGGTCGTCACTTTCAATCAAATTGGCTGACTCAGTAAAATGAGCATTGTAATTTGAATCATAATTGTTGCTCTGGGCTGAAGAATCACAATATTTTGTGTCAATTTGAACACCAGTTTCTTGTTCAATTAAGGCCGATGATTCAAAATTATCATTATTGTTTTCTTTGGTTTCTTGATTTTGTTTTTCTACCAAAATGATCCCATCTATTTGATTTTGAGACTCTTTCAATGAGCTTTGGGCACCATCTCCATTGTTATTGCTTGTTTCTTCCATTTAGATGTTTTTTTAACAAAGATTTGAAAAGAGAGTAAAATTTGGAAGAATAATTACTAAAGTTATTAATAAATTGAAGGTTTTTTGAGGCAGATTTAGACCATTATATCGAGTTCACCAATTTTTGAAGAATAAACAACGCAACAACTCGAAATGACTTGAAGATGTCTTTGAAGTCGTGAATGAAATCGCCTCAAGTCAAGTGCGTTTCAAACTCAACGTTTTGAAATCAATTGAAAACCTTGCGCAATCAAACATGAATTAATTGTTGACATGAGCTATCCGGATGTATTTTATCTAAAACTTGC